CCCCAAAACCCCAAAACCCCAAAACCCCGATCCACCAAATAACTGAGATAATCACAATGATAAAATTAAAATATTTGTAATAAATTCTAGTAATTAAAAAAAAAAGGTATCATTTTTTACCAAGAGCTATAATCAAAGACCCAGTAAGAGCACAGATTATTGCTGAAATTTCAAAGTAATTCGGTATTCTTCCTTCTATAAGCATTTCTAGAATGAGCTAAAATACATTTTATAATTAACTAAGAGCAACTGCAATACCTCCAATACCGTATTTGATTGAATAATTCAGTGCTATTGCTGATGTAGTAAAAGCAATTGCAGCTATCTACATAAACCACAGCTAAGTCCAAGTGTATTCTAAGAATGTATAGTGAGAGTGCAAAAATAAAAGTAAAAAGAGACCTCCTGTAACTATTTATTAATCAATGCAGAATCTAATCACATCATAGCCATTCTCTTGAGATTTTCTAATGATCACAGATGATATAGTCATTGCAGTGACTTACAATAATGCAAATAAAATAGGTACAAATGTTGAAAGTGGGTCATCGATTAAAGGTGCTGAAAATGTGAAACTCTTAGAAATAGCAATCAAAAAGACACATATAACTATCAAAATCATTCCAATTAAATGCTTAATGCGAAGTTTTTCATTGTATAAAAAATAAAATACTATGGCTACAGTGAATGATGATGAGCTGCATATGGAAATTATGACACTTGGACTTACGTCAGCTTTTATTGAATAATAAGCCATTAAACCAACATTAGTGTTCATGAAAACAGATATGAAACCACGAGCGATTACACAAAATAAGCATATCTACTTAAAAATCAAAGTTTTTTTATCGTAAAGTTGAGATTCTTCTTTAATCCAGAGTTTGCCATTATTTTTAAGACTCCTTCCTCCAAGGAATATTTATAAATATATTGGGGCTGCCATTAAACTTAGAAATTCTGCATAAGTTATTGAGCTAGAGTTATTTCTCATTCTTATTCCATATGCTACAAAGTAATTATGAATAGCAAATCCAAATGCGCTTGAAAGTGCAAAGCAATTTGCTAAATAATAATGTTTTGAACTCTTCTACTCAATTTCAGTTTGCAGAAGTGGAGTTTCAATAGATTAGATATCTTATGATAGATAGTTGTGTTAAATTGTTTTTATTTCTTAAGAATTCGCCATAGAAATTTTAAAAGTATAATTTTTTTCAATTAAGCCTAATATATAACTAAGATAATCTAAATAAAATCTATGCTATTTAATACTTTCTATTGACTTAAATAAATTAAGAAATATTTATATTCACCTATATTTGGCTTGATTTCAACATGAGGGGTTTTGGGGTTTTGGGG